TTTTGATTCCTTGCTAGACATAATAAAGTTATTTTTTTATCTAAGTGTATACCCCTCTTAAGCAAAAAATTTCACTATTTAAATAAAGTACCGTGCACTGACGCGAACACTGGCGCGGTAACCATAGTACGGTGATAGAGGAAATGCTTCACCAAACCTGAGCGTCTGCTCACCATGGAGGTGCGGCTCAAAACGGCGTCTGTTCTCCATGTTAGGAGCGGCTGATCACCGTCCTAGTGCCAGCGTGGGACTCTAAACAGAGCTGTGCACGATGGTCCCCCGGCGAGACAGGGGGTTGGGGCAGGCCCAACAAGCCGCCCTGGAAAAAAACAAAGTTGCAAATACCGAAGAAAGAAATACGGATCGGAACAATCGGCACAGACCTACGTGACGAAATAAGGACTACGATTGGAAACTCGGAACATGGAACTGCAAATCGCTCGGCTTCCCGGGTTGCGATAGGTTAATCTATGACGAACTTCAACCACGCAACTTCGAAGTCGTAGCACTGCAGGAACTTTGCTGGACGGGACAAAAGGTATGGAAAAGCGGGCATCGAGCGGCTACTTTCTACCAGAGCTGTGGCACCACCAACGAGCTGGGAACCGGCTTTGTAGTGCTGGGTAAGATGCGCCAACGCGTGATTGGTTGGCAGCCGATCAACGCGAGGATGTGCAAGTTGAGGATTAAGGGCCGTTTCTTCAACTACAGCATCATCAACGTGCACTGCCCACACGAAGGGAGACCCGACGACGATAAAGAAGCGTTCTATGCGCAGCTGGAGCAGGTGTACGACGGCTGTTCGCAACGGGACGTCAAAATCGTCATCGGCGACATGAACGCTCAGGTAGGACGGGAGGCAATGTATAGACCGGCAATCGGGCCAAACAGCCTGCATGCCGTATCGAACGACAACGGCCAACGATGCGTGAACTTTGCAGCCTCCCGGGGTATGGTAGTTCGAAGTACCTTTTTCCCCCGCAAGGATATCCACAAAGCCACCTGGAGATCACCTGACCAACACACAGAAAACCAAATCGATCACGTTCTAATCGACGGGAAATTCTTCTCCGACATTATCAACGTCCGCACGTACCGCAGTGCGAACATAGATTCGGACCACTACCTAGTTGCAGTATGCATGCGCTCAAAACTGTCGACGGTGCATAACACACGTCGAAGTCGAACGCCACGACCCAACATTGAGCAACTACGGGACACCGGAGTTGCCCAGGACTACGCGCAGCAGCTGGAAGTTGCACTACCCACGGAAGAGCAGCTTGGCTCAGCTTCTCTTGAAGATGGCTGGAGGGACATCCGTTCAGCCATAGGTAGTACTGCTGTAGCGGCACTAGGTACTGCAATCCCGGACCGAAGAAATGACTGGTTTGACGGCGAATGCAAACTGTTAGTAGAGGAGAAGAATGCAGCACGGGCGAGAATGCTGCAACACCGCACGAGATTGAATGTGGAGCGATACAGACAAGCGCGGAACAGACAAAACTCGGTTTTCCGAAGGAAGAAGCGTCAGCAGGAAGATCGAGATCGCGAGGCGATGGAAAATCTGTACCGCGTAAACGACACACGGAAGTTCTACGAGAAGCTAAATAGTTCGCGCAAAGGCTACGTGCCGCAAGCCGATATGTGCAAGGACTTGGACGGTAACCTTCTCACGAACGAGTGTGAGGTGATTGAGAGGTGGAAGCAGTACTATGACGAGCACCTCAACGGTGAAGCAGCAGAAAACGAAGGTGGCACGGCAACAGACCTTGGAGCACGCGCAGAAGACGACAGGCTACCGGCCCCTGATCTTCAAGAAGTTGAGGAGGAGATCGGTCGGCTGAAGAACAACAAAGCAACTGGTGTAGATCAACTACCAAGTGAGCTATTGAAATACGGTGGTGAAGCACTGGCTAGAGCGCTGCACTGGGTAATTGCCAAGATTTGGGAGGAGGAGATATTACCGGAGGAGTGGATGGAAGGTGTCGTATGCCCAATCTACAAAAAGGGCGACAAGTTGGATTGCTGCAACTACCGCGCGATCACACTGCTGAGCGCCGCCTACAAGGTACTCTCCCAAATTCTATGCCGCCGTCTGTCACCATATGCAAGAGAGTTCGTGGGGCAATACCAGGCGGGATTCATGGGTGCCCGCGCTACCACGGACCAAATTTTCGCGATTCGGCAGGTTCTGCAGAAATGCCGCGAATACAACGTGCCCACACATCATTTGTTCATCGATTTCAAATCCGCATACGACACAATCGATCGAGATCAGCTATGGCAGATTATGCACGAGTACGGATTTCCGGATAAACTGACGCGATTGGTCAAGGCGACGATGGATCGAGTGACGTGCGTTGTTCGAGTATCGGGGACACTCTCGAGTCCCTTTGAATCTCGAAGGGGGTTACGGCAGGGTGATGGACTTTCGTGTCTGCTGTTCAACATCGCGTTAGAAGGTGTGATCAGAAGAGCTGGGATAGACACGAGTGGCACGATATTCAGGAAGTCCATCCAGCTCCTTGGTTTCGCCGATGACATTGACATTATGGCACGGAACTTTGAGATGATGGCGGAAACGTACATCAGACTGAAGGCTGAAGCTAGACGGATTGGACTTGCCATCAACGCATCAAAGACAAAATATATGAAAGCAAGAGGTTCTAGGGAAGACAATGTTAGCCTCCCACCCCGAGTTCAGATTGACGGTGACGAAATCGAGGTGGTCGATGAGTTCGTGTATTTGGGCTCACTGGTGACCGCCGAAAATGATACCAGCAGAGAAATTCAAAGACGCATTATGGCAGGGAATCGTGCCTACTTTGGACTCCGGAGGACGCTCCGGTCGAATAAAATTCGCCGCCGCACGAAGTTGACTGTCTACAAGACGCTGATTAGACCGGTGGTCCTTTACGGCCACGAGACCTGGACTATGCTCGTGGAGGACCAACGCGCCCTTGGTGTTTTCGAACGGAAGGTGTTGCGTACCATCTACGGTGGAGTGCAGATGGATGACGGAACGTGGAGGAGGCGAATGAACTACGAATTGCACCAGCTGCTGGGAGAACCATCCATCGTCCACATTGCAAAAATTGGGCGACTACGGTGGGCTGGGCACGTCGTAAGAATGCCGCACGACGACCCAGTGAAAATGGTTCTAGAAAGCGACCCAACAGGAACAAGAAGAAGAGGCGCGCAGCGGGCAAGGTGGATCGACCAAGTAGAAGGTGACCTGCGGACCCCTCGCAGACTACGAGGCTGGCGAACTGTGGCCATGGATCGAGTAGAGTGGAGACGACTTCTTCGGACAGCAGAGGACAACAAGGCCTTAGCCTGATTGGTAAGGTAAGTAACCGTGCACTGTGCCTTTTTCAATAGGCTGAATGGCGGTGGATTTCCTACATCCTTTCTTACAACAAATGTAATTTCAGTTCTTGCAATTGACTGTAGCGTACAAGCAAGTGAATATTTTCGAACAAAACCTTGATGAGGTGATTTTCTAGCCGCAGTGCATTTGGTGAAACAAACTCACTCTCAGGTCTCAGGAGAGGTGGGCTTTTTAAAGATATTGCGGTTTTGTGAATAGAGTAAATAATGATTCAAAACATTACATATTTCATAAAAGTTCATGTGGAAGCAAACGTCATTTTCAACTGCTCGAATAAAATGGTTAATAGATCAAATCATTCAAACTGTTTAAAATGACGTTTCCTACCACTCGAGCATTTCATGGAGCAATATATTTCAAGTTTTTCGAGGATTTATTTATGCAGTCCAATATGTAGTGCCTCATTTTCTTAAAATCACTGTTAGAAGGACTTCCAATGCTCGACTGTATGAATATTACAGGGTAGCATTCAATCGTGTAATACTGTTTTTCAAAAATTCACTAAAAAAATAAACAAATATTTAACTCTCTACCTCCCAAAATTAGATTTCCTTCGAGTCAATTTTAAAAAAGATGGATTTTTTTTATCTCGATCAATTAGGCTTTTCTAGGCGCAATTCTTCCTGAAACCGACAACTTTTTGTTCGAGGTTCTTAAAAACATTTATTTCGTACGTATGTGATAGCTCTAGTTATGAACATATACAATTTGTTCTACAGCATGTTGAATCTATATAACCCTTGTAATCTATTCTTGCAAAAAAAAACCGTATATCATTCGAAAGGGAACCGCCAGGGCTTATAAGATAATGTGGTATTTACATTATACTGGTTCAGCAGTGCCAACTAGCAGTTGTTCCTGAATGGGGTATTTACATACATGCTGGATCAATAGCTCAACTAAATAGCACGAATTTCAGTACTAAAAAGTAGTCAGCATAATGTAAATGGCGTCCGCATCTACCAGCATGAGATTTCAGGAGAAACTGAAATTCGCGCTAGTTGCTCCTCAAATCTCATGCTGGTAGATGCTGACACCCTGTTTACATTATACTGACTACTTTTTAGTATAGTTCTAGTACACTAGCGGTGCCACACCAGTACAGATGTAAACACCCCATTACACTTGTGCTGATCCACGTGCATGATGTAAACAGTGCTGATTAACATTCTCGCATAAATTTCTACACAAACTTGATCGGATTATACCAATTTTGGTTAATCAGCCTTATGAACCAGCACATATGTAAACAGGTCATAAAAACTGTTAACATCATGCTGATGATGCAGTCATATGGTCCACTAGGAATGTTATAAGTCGTGAAAGCAGATTTCTCGCAATTCAACACAATTTATGTGGATTCGGTATAAGTGAACACCCTTGCAAATAGGTTCAAAATGCTCATAAGTTTTGCCAATGGAATGTACACATCATGAAGAGCTTTATATAGTCAGAATATAACAATAAACTCGCTACAAATTTACATATTCACCATATAAATCTGACGATCGTACGTGACACTGCGCTTCACACATCATTCCGCAAACAATGAAAATTAGCATTCTCTATTATTCGCTACTAAATTCAAACCTTTATTCCCCCATTTCAGCTGGTCGAAACAACCAAAATCGAGGCCTTCCTTCCCCTGAGCAGTCATCTGTTCTGAGACAGGAACGATACTTCCTCTATGGTGCACTCATTCTTTTCACGATCATCGCATTCTCCACAGCTTTATACTTCATCATCAAGCAGACACAAAGCAACTCTAACCTTAGTCAGCCGGAGATTCTCTTCGGCAACAACTACCAATCGGGAACTAGTTAGTACCATTGCAGAGTTTTCGTAAGAAACTCATTTGAATTCCATACTTTATAATTATGTTAGATTAAATTGTAGTTCCCAACCTTGGCAACGGCCATCTAGTCATCGACCGTCAAAACTGGGGTGCCCAGAACGAAGTCCGCGGTCGTTATCCTTTACATTCGCCAACTCCTTACGTGCTCATTACCCACATCGGAGTCCAATCGACACCGTGTGTGGATATGTACAGATGCTCAATCAAGATGCGAACCATACAGGATGCAGCTGTTGCCGAGATGGGTCTGCCGGACATTCCCAATAATTTCTATGTAAGATTTATGCCATTCAAGGATAAGTGGAATATTTATTCAATTGAAATTCAAATCTCATAGCTTGGTGGTGACGGCTTCATCTACGTTGGTCGAGGTTGGAATATTGCGAACGCCTACGCCAACCAGACGCTCTCTGTTTGCTTCATGGGAGATTACATTCGGTACGAACCGAATGATAAACAATTCTCTGCCCTTGAGCACTTGCTTGCCCACGGAGTTGCCAAGGATTACCTTACCAAGGACTATCAACTCGTCGCTCATAATCAGGTACTTGACGGTTTAAAAATAATCCATACGAACATTGATATTGACAAATACTTTTCTACAATTCACAGACAAGGAAAACTAAAAGCCCAGGGCCACACATCTATGAACGAATTTCAAAAATGCCTAGATGGTCTCCTTGTGGGACACCAGGATATAGTACCTGCGGAGCAGAGCTTGGTTTACCCACCATGTGGGAGCAGGATTTTCCCAAGAAAAGCAATACTACCAAGAATTAGTCATCGGCGTATCTAGCAAAAGCTTAAACTGGGATCAATTGGTGCTAAGTACATCGTAATAATACACTTCACCCATACATTCAGTATTAGTAAAGTGCAGAACGTGAGATAAACGACCGTTAACATCAAAAGTGTAGTGGAACTAACGCTTGGCAAACGGAAATTGACACTTAAGTAAATAGATTGCCTTGATCAGCACGTTGCAACTGTAGTTTAATTTTTGTATGTAGTAGTAGTTAAGCAATAAATCAGGCCATTGCCTTCTGGCAGAGAAACGGTGTGAACTGGGAATCTCCATAGATAGATCAATATTTATAAATTCGTCGTTTTTGAGTTAATCTACAAGCACTGTAAAATAATAAAACCAACTGAATGCAACATAATGTATGCAAATCCATGTATTGCATATTGTTGAACTTGGAAGTTTATTTTCTTCCGAAATGCTCAGATTATTGTACAGTTTAGTAAAGTGATTGTAAGAAAATAAATTTAACAATTTATGCAATTTTATCTAATCAAATCCCGAAACACCTAACTATTCATGTACATGCCTTGGAATTGAAAGTTGTGCTGTAAAATAATTTGTCAAAACGGGGGTTTAAAAAAATAGTTCTGCATAATTACTCTGGTAAGGCAATTTATTAACACAAGATAAAACATACTTCAAAATTTCAGATCGTTGCTTAGTAATAGACTTTTGTACAGCCATTCTGGAATTTATTTCTACAGTCAAACTACATTATTGCAGTCCGACTTACTCATACCGCTATGTTCTAAACGAGATAGTGGATAAGAGATAATCCAATAAACTGCAGAATACTCAAGAAATTCACTAAACCTTTCTAACTTTTCTTATGCCATGTTATGATGAAATTTTCTCAAACTTTCTCAGCATAGGCTACTGTAGATGACCAACTGGTGTTAAATTGATCAACAGGATAAAACTGATCAATATGCAAAAGTTTCCCGTCTATCACTAATAATATGTATTACAATAGACGCAAAGCGAAATCTTACCAGTAATGCATCAGAAAATGAAGAAAAACTTTTTCATTTGATTCTATTTTTACAAATAACGAATATAACGGAAATACAACTATCGAACATATGCTCACCGGACAGCAGCGTTCCTTAGTTTACGACTACATCCTCGTTTCCACCATTTTTATTGAAAACAATTATTTTCATTATGATATCATTGCCAAATACAAAGAGCTCAAAACTAGTAAATAAGCTTATTTAATAAGCACTAGAAACTACATGAGCTGGCCTTCCTTAGCTCAGTCGATAAAGGCGCAGATATAAAGCAAGACCATGTCGATACTCGGTCCAGTCTAGGATTTTTCCAGGATGATAATTTTCTCGACGTCCCTGGGCATAGAGTATGACTGAACTTGCCACACAATACTAATAATACAAAAATTGTACTGGCTTAGAAAACTCTCAGCTAGAGCTGCACCCAAATCTGCATGTTCAAATTGAGTTAAAAAAAAAAAAAAAAAAAAAACAAATGTATGTGTGAAAATGTGTACTGAAGTTTTGCTTTATGAGTCAAAGTATTTGCAGGTCTGGAATGGGTTAGTGCCCGTCATGAATTTCACGCTATGAATAGACTTGTGCCAAATTCAAATTTAATCTAAGTTTTCTAAATGAACAATAAGCATTAAAACGTTGCCCATATCTTGGCCAATATTCGTATGTAAAACTAGTGATTTAATGCTTATACGACAGTATACTGTCTATAATCACATATCAGTCCCATATGGATTTTCTTCAATTTTGAGATAACAACACTATACACTATCAAGTGGCATCTACTTTTATATTATGTAATAAAACTACGGACTTTGATCATAAACAATGTGAAAACAACATCAAGTCAGATTGTCCCATCAAGCTAAGTAAGCGCATATCAGTCCCATCCTTGAATTCAATCGTCCAGAGGTGAAGTAACAGTTCTGCTTTTCGAATTGCCATATTTTTCACTGATATAACATAACATGCAAGCTTAAATGCAACTGGTTTTAACTTCGTAACTTCGACAACCATTTTCTCAATGCCTATACTTTTTCCACATGGGACTGATGAGGGATTATACGCAGTATATGCTTATATAGGACTTATATATGCACACTTAGAAAACTTTATGTAAATTAAGGTGCTATGAGCATCAATTTTGACATTAAATTGAGTCTAGACGCAAAATTCAGCTCAATCAAATGTACTTTTTGTCAAATAACGAACTTTTTATTCTCGGAGCATTTAATGACATGTTTGTTTACGTCACATCCTTTATGCCTTATGTCAAAGATAGATTCCGTCACGTGCAGGACGATTCTATCCCTGTCAACCACATATGTATAGAGATTAGTGACGTTTAACTCACGCACACTAGCGGGTGTGTCGTCGTGTAAAGTTGTTTATTATTTTCCTCTGGCTAACCCAAAAAAATGTATGAAATTAGATCTTTCAAAAGGAGTTTGACAGCTATTTTTTGTATATTTTCCTCTGATTTTCTCTAACATGCTCTCACATATCGGACCAAAACAACCGGACGTGAAAATTTTAATTGAAGAATCAAAACGACGATAGACTCCCAGATGGGAGTGGGTGAAAATGGCATTTTAACTATCGCGTAAAATCTCCCTTCGTTTAATTTTGAGCTATACTTGGCATAAACAGCGAAATCGTTTACAAGCTTGCATACAATATTGCTAATTTAATCGATATTGCGCTTAAATTTACACGAAATTTATGCCAAATCTAGCGTTAATTTTATGTGCGCTATATCTCGCAGATATTTACAAGAATTTTTTAAACAGTGTAGGTGAGAAAACCACTCTCTGAAAATTTCAGCTCATTCGGATGTAACACGAGCTGGTGCTTTTGGCTTAAAGTTATATGGGGATTTTTTCGAAATACATGGAGAAATAACATCCCTTCACCCTTTCGTGCATGAAATTGGTTGAGCAAACTCTTTTAAGCTCAAAGTTTCAGCACATGTAGCTCATTCTATAAGAAACAACTCTGCTGCATTTATATGTGCATTTTGTTCGTATATTGCAACAAAATTCCGGCAGCTTATGCAACGTATCAACTAGATTACCACTAAAAAAATAACATTTCATCTACAGGCTAGTGTCAATAGGTAAGATAACCACTCTCTAAATGTTTCAGTTATTTTTGACGTTACACGGACTGGTGCTTTTGTTTTAATGTTTATATAGGGAATTTCGTTGAAATTTTCATATGCAAAATGCTCATATATAGCCGGCACCGGTGGTGTAGTGGTAAGCGTGACTGCTTTCTAATCCCAATGGCTCTGGGTTCAATCCCAGCCGAGGTCGGTGGGATTTTTCTGTGGCATAAACATCTCTGGTCATGTCTTCCTTCGGAAGGGAAGTAAAGCCGTTGGTCCCGGCCCATGTGTGTTGAATGGTTGTGATATCCTACGTAGGTGTGGAAGCTGCCTTCCTGCACATTCGATTGCCTCAATGGATGGCAATCGATGTCCGTCGGTGATTGGCACTAGATTGCAGAACAGAGACCGACGTTAAATAAAGGACTGAAAAAAAAGAAGAATGCTCATAAACATTCAAAAGTAAATATCTCAATTGAACTGACAGGATTAATAATGCAGTCTTTGTTACCAGATCTGAGTTATCCGCATCCCTCAGGGCCCGAGGAAAACGAGCCGAGTTTTCGACTATTTGAATTTAATTTAATTTGTTTTTAAAACGGATAGATCTGAGGATTTAGTAGTTAGTATCATCTTGTGTTCTCCCAAGTTGTTAGCTGCCCATCGGTGTATTTACCCCCATGTTTGTCTTTTTCATCAGTATATCACTTAGCTCGATATCAAGAGCACATTGCTCTCCAAACCTTGTGTCCTCAATCCCTACCCTGTCATCCATTTGTTACAATTTGTTACCCCCAACCTCGAGATAGCCGCGAGCCGATCGGCCCCCGCTTTACTAACGTTAGTTTTAAGTAATTTTGTGATCTAAACAATGAATATCGGATAAAATCGAAAAAAAATAATGCAGTCTGGAGCAAAGTTGTTACTCATTGCTTGAACTACAAGTTTTTAGAAAACTTAATTAAATCGAGAATAAGGAAACTTGTTTATGATCGAGTGTAAGAGTGTCATTTTTTCATGTATTTTATCCACGAGTAGGTAACTCCGCGCACAAATATTGGCTTTTTTGTCAGTGTGCCGCTTGTATGGCGCGGGTGTGCCGAGTGTGCCGCTGGTGTTCCGAGTGTGCCACTGGTGTTCCGAGTGTGCCGCTGGTGTTCCGAGTGTGCCGGTCATAAAGCAAGCTACGATTGTTTGTAAAACACCCCAAGGTTGCCGTGGTATTACTGATGGCTAAAAGTTCTTTTTTCCGTTGCCGAATATCCGCATTTAGTGTCACTTATAGTCCTCGACGCGTAGCAATAGGGTGCTCCTTTCCATCTTCAGATCGCTGTGATAGGACGGCGCCTAACGCAAAGTCACTTGCGTCTGTTTCTAAGATGAATTTTTTGTCGAAATCAGGATACTTTAGTATGGGATCTGTGATTAGTAATTGTTTGCATTCATTGAAGCAATCCAAGAACTCTTCGTCAAGTACAATGTTTGCGTCTTTCTTTACGCATTTCGTCAGAGGTTTTGTTAACTTGGCGAAATCCTTTATAAATTTGCGGTAATATCCCAATAGTTCTACAAATCCTTTAATTTGAGAGGCAGTTTTGGGTAATGGCCAATTAACTATTTTCTCAATTTTGTTGGGGTTCGGCTTGATACCGTCTTGGGTAACGATATGGCCCAAAAACTCGCATTGCTTGCGAAGAAACTCGCATTTGTCTAGTTGAACTTTTAGGTTTGCTCTACTAAGTCTTCTGAACACCTTTTTAAGATTTTCGAGATGTTGTTGTAGAGAGTTTCCAAAGACTATTATATCATCATGGTAAACCAAACAGCATTTACCTATCAAATCGCTCAAAATATTGTTCATCGCCCTTTTAAAAGTTGAGGGCGCGTTTTTAAGACCGAAGGGCATGTGAACGAATTCGAAGTGCCCTTTATTGGTGCTAAAGGCCGTTTTTGGTCTGTCTTTAGCTTCCACTTC